AAGGAATAGAAAATAGTGACAAGTGAATGGATAAAGGAATTGTGATTTATCAATTCAACATTCATTCATGAATATAAAGGAACAAACTACTGATAGAGACAACAACATGGGTGCGTTTTGGAATCATGATGCTGAGTGAAAGAAGCCAGACCGTCCTCCCCTCAGAGAACATAAATATATTTTCCCTTCATATGAAATCCTGTAAAATATAAACTGATCCATAGTAACAGAAAGCAGATGAGAGAAGGGGAGGTCACGGAAGTTCAGGAGAGAAGGATTATAAAGGAGCATGAAGAAACTATTAGGAATAATGCATATGTTTATTATCTTGTCTGAATTGAGAGTTTCATGTGCACATATGTATGTCAAAACTCGTGAAATTCTATGCTTTAAGTAAGTTCAATTGATTGTATGTCAATTGTATCTCAAAAAAAGTTTAGAACAATAGCTTACATGAGGAAGGACAGTGCGAAATAAGAAAAGTAGTGAGCGTGGAGGTCTGGGAGGTCTGCAATTAAATTAATCATTTACCTGATGCATGGTCTTAGGCAGCTTATTCAAGTCCTCTGAAACAAAGTGTCCTTCTCTGTAAAATGGATATTGTAGCAGTTAGGATCGTGTTCATATGTATCTGAAAACTGGACAATGGCTGAAACAAGTTAGAAATTCATTTGTCTTATGGACAAGAACTTTGGGATGAGGCTGTCCCAAGCTGGCATGGAGGGTCAGTGAGGTCACTGAGAAACCAGTATCCTTTAGCTTTCTTAGTGACGCCTCCTGCTTCTCAAAACTTGTATATTCCAGCAGGATGAGGGAGGAAGGGGAAAAGGCACCATTAGCTGACCTCTTCCTGTGTTTCACTGGCCACAACTGGGTCACTTAGCTATCCATAGCTGAAAACGGGTCTGGGAAGGCAAGTGTTTGATCTCTGGGAAAGCAGGAAGGGGTTGGGGTGAGCGTTGAAGGGGCCAACCTACAGCATCCACCCCAGGTGTAATAAGAGTACCTACCACAAATAGTTTTTGAGAAGTTTCATGAGCCTAAAGGATAAAAATCAGCTGTGAAAACCATAAAATACAAACAAGAAAAATCATGTTGTTACTTGCTTCCTAAATGCCGCCGAGGGCCTAATAAGACCAGAGTTTGTCATCCTCTCAGATCATTGCAAGTGCCATTATAATGTCTTAACAAAATTCTTAGCTAATGGTATGATAATATGCCAATGTAATATGCAAAATAGTAAAAATTGCGTTTGTAAACACCATGGGCTGCCTCAGGTTTATTCTATCTGTTAAACTCATAAGCCTGGAGGCAGAAGAGCTTCTACACACTAGAGTTGAACCACATGCGAAGTACTTCCCTCTGGTGATAAGGTATCAGCAGAATTTCTAGGAAAACACTTGTGAGGCGGCCCTGGGAGGCCATGGGTCCCTGTGTCAGCAAACTGGATTGAACTCTGATGGTGATATGTATGTGAACCTGGAGAAAAAGCTCAGGGTCAGGTCTTCACACGGGCCTTTTTTGACCATCCAATCTGAGGTGTCTTTTTGTCCATAATCGTGCTTTTGTTTATTATCACATTTTATTTCCTGAAGCTCTACTGAAATTATTTGTGTATTTTCTGTCTCCCTCCCCAACTTTGAAAACTTAATTCTATAAGAGCAAGGACATTTTGTATCTTATTTGCAGGTATAAATTGAAATTTTTGAAAAGTATTCAACCCATGATAGATATTCCAGATAAATCTTTTGTTTATTTTTTATGCTTTTAATTTTTAAAGATTTTACTTATTTATTTGAGAGAGAGAGCATGAGCAGGGAGGGGCAGAGGGGGAGGCAGAGGGAAGGGAGCAGAGTGAAAGGGAGAAGCAGCTCCCTCCCCCCAGCCCCCATCGCTGAGCCAGGAGTCTGATGAGGGCTCCATCTCAGGACCCCAGGATTATGACCTGAGCAGAGGCAGACGCTTAACTGACCGAGACACCCAGGTGCCCCTCTAAATAAACCTTTTGAATGGCCTTTTATCCAATTATATATATTTATTGCTTCCTCTATCTAGTTAAGTAATTCTCATCACTCACATATTTTTCTTCTTCTTTGTGAGAACATTTAAGTTCTATACTCTTTGGAAATATCATTATACAATACAGTGTTATCCACTATAATCATAATGTTATACATTAGATCCTTAAACCTTATTCATCGTATAGCAGAAAGTTTGTACCTTTTAACCATATATTATTGCTTTACTATCATAGAGATCACATGGTACCCACTTTTTGCTCTTTCAAATATCTCTACCAAAAATAGTATTCTGACCTAGGTTCTGGAAATGGATATGGGGGAAGGTTTTTGGAATTGTAGTGTGTGTATAAAAGAAAATTAGATTGTAAAGAAATAATCTTCTAGGCATGTTCGAGCCATTTTAAAGCTAGTATTTTAGGTATTGAATGTATTACCTTTGTAAAACCAAGTGACCAAGCTATTGGTTCGATTTTTAAATTTGTACTTGACTAAAGCTTAAGTTGTGGTCTGTTGTGTGGGCCACAAAAGAGGAAAGATTGTGCAATATCATTTCTGGACAGATATGCATACCTAAACCCAACTGAGAAACATGAGAACTCTAAAAAATTTTTTGCAGCCAGCATACCATTGACACATAAACTCCTAGCTTCATAACTAATGGGAAGTTTTTCTTTTGTTTTCATTTTTTATCTGAAAAAATTTTTTTTTACATCTTCTACATTCAGATAGCTGTATTTAGTTAGTTTGGCAATGTGAATCTTTGCTGTAATCAGATATTAGCACACATCTTCAAGGTCATTGGGTTCTGACATTACATTGGTCTTTAGTATTTAGTTGAGATGGTCTAACACCAAAGGAGTAAAAACACTGACGAAACTAATGAGGGATCCACTAGAGGGCAGCAAAGTGCAAACCAAATTTAAATTTGCCCAAGGCAAGCTGATGCTTTCCTGAAAAAAAAAATTTGTATTGGAAAGATTTCTTAAATGCAAAACATTCAAATTAGTTCTGTGATTTAAAAGAATTTACATACAAATGTTTCTCTTTCTTAGAAGTAGTGGTCTAAAGACTCATTCTGTTAAAGAGCAAACTGAGAATAGAACGGGTCCTAGCCCTATCTCTCATACTAGGTGTGTGATTTAGGGCAATCTGCAGTTTGTCTTTTTGGTCCTTTTCTATGTTACATGGGTCTACACAAAATAATTCTTAAAGTTCTTTTCAACTCTAAAATCCCAAGGCTTTATGATTTTTGATTGTATTTTCATCATTTAAGTCTTGCTGATTTAGGCTCTTACGTTGTTTGATCAACCATAACTTGATAGTGGTGGAGATTCTGTTTGGAAATACCCACCATTATTTCATGGAAAATTTAGGTCCCTGAGTATGTTGATGTTACCTTAATAAAGCACTTCTTCCCCCAAACCATTATTTGTATATAATCTAGTGACAATAATGACTGCGATGTTTTCTGGAATAGGTTTTGCTATTTAAACCATCACTGCAATCTGTTTTTATTAAAAAAAAAAAAAGGCAGCAAAATAAATTCCCAACATGATATATTGTATGTAGCCAATTTGTTTTCACTTTCCATTTATTTTCCTTTTAAACTACTACATATGTGAACTCAGTATCAGTTACTCTACCAAAATTGTGAAATCACAAAGAAAGTTATACATTTTTTTTAAAAAGTTGTTGGTTTGAAGGCCAGGGATATGGTGACTTAGAGTGACACTAAAGAGCACATGAATGCTCTGAGCTACTGTTATGTCATAATTCACTGGGTCAACCACATGAAGCTTCTGGATGTGGCTGATTTTGACAGTGAATTCACAGTTATTCTTCGCATTTGTTCAATGATGGTCATGGTAAGCACCTACCACAAAACCCATTTTCAGCTAATGCCTGAATTGTGACTAAAACTGAAACCCTGTTCTAAACAGCATTTTTTCATGAGCACCAGTGGATAAAACTCTAACAGTTTAGTGAAAGCAGAAATGGTTTCTTAATCCAGGCTGCTAACGTAGTCATATTTAACACCACACCACAACACATATTCAAATATTTTGAACCCTCGTTTAAGGACACATTTTCCTCCTATATGCATAAGGAAGGAAGAAATACGCTTGTTTGGCAGTGAATGTGGCCAAGAAAGGAAAATCATCGATTAAAACATAATACACTTATTATCACTATCAGAAGCCAGAGGTAGAACAGTATTATAGTTATGTTCTAGACTCCCTGCCCTGGCATATTAGCTCAGCTGGGGCCAATTAGGCTACCACCCTTTTTTCTATGACTCTGAGGCTAGTTAGCATCTTCTCGAACAGAACCTTAGACATTAGCACGAGATAATAAATTACTAATTTGAACCAAATTGCTTTTCCACTAGGGTGGGAGAATATGAGGAGACCCCCAACTTAGAATCAACAGTTTCAGATGTAAGTTACAGTCCCCCAAAGATAAACCCTCCAGATGCTTGGTATTATTTCTAGAAAGTAATGAGTAAAATACTGATTGCCTCCGTGCAAATCCTGACTCTGCTCTATATTCTGTGCCTCAATATCCTCTTCCCTAAAATGAGGACAACTGTGCCTGTCTTTTAGGTTTGTTTAAAAATTAAACAAGTTAGTACTTGTAAAACTTATTATTTTAGCCAAGAATATTAAAGTGGTTTCAGTTTTTCCAGTGCTTTCTCAGAAAGATGTAGCTAAAAGCATCAGATCTGAGTTCCTATTAATAATTCACTGTTGACCTTGAACAAGTTACTTCACCTTTCTTGGCCTCATCTTCTCACCTGGGGTCTTAAATGATGCTTCAAAGATAACACACGTTCTAAGATGGATGTGTGATCAATGGATGCTGTGGAATGAACAAACTTCAGTTGAGGAGGTTGGGGCAAAGAGATCACCAGCACACCCTCTAGTTTTAACACTTCCTGTGATCCAGAGTCTCCCAATAGAGCAGTGGGGAGCATGAAGTCGCAATTGTCTATCTATATTGGGGAAGATGAAGTGCAGTTGTCTGTCTATATTGAGAACCACTCCTGCAGAACACCATACCATTTGCTGAAATGAATTCTGAAGGTATTACACAAAATACTACGTCCTTTATTGTGATAATCTAGCAATGTATGTGCCAATATTGGACTGAACAAAGGCCTGAATATAAAAATAAATAGCATTTATTTTGTCCGAAGCGACTGTCAGGGTCCGAGGTCCCAGCGCGCGGAGAGCGCCCCAAGGGGAGGGCCGAGGCCCGGGCGCCCTCAGGGGAGCAGCAGGGAGCCCAGCAGCAGCTCGCCCTGGCCCAGCCCGCGGCCCCACTCGCGGCCGCGGTCCCGCTTCTCCGCCTTGACGCGCACGGCCAGGCGGCGCACCTGCTCCTCCGACAGCCCGTCCAGGCACACGTCCTGGTCGAAGGCGGCCTTGCCGCTAGGCCGCACCACGGCGCTGAGCTGCGGGCGCGTCTTTCCCGGAGAGCGCAGGACGAAGCTGACGCGGCAGCCCACGGCGCGGGGTTCGGCGGTCCCTGCGGGCAGGCCCTCGGCGCCGAGCAGCCGCACGCGGAGCCGCCCGCTGGCCCGGCTGTACTCGGCGGCCAAGCGCAGGGCGCCCCCAGCGCGGCCCAGGGCCACGGTGCCCTCGGCCTCCAGGCGCTCGGGCCGCGGGTCGGGGCCAGGCAGTGGCGGCGGCGGCTGGGACGCGGAGGGGGCCCGGGCCGGGGGCCGCGAGGCGGCGCCGCGCTCGTCGTCGTCGTCGTCCCCGCGGGACACGGAGCGGGCGCGCGGCAGGGCACGGCTCCTCCGGGCCCGCAGCGCGCGGCTCAGCAGTCCTTCGGGGGAGCGCAGGAGGCGGTGGGCGCGGGGCGGCGGCGCGGGCACGTCCGGGGTCTGCCGGGGGCCGGCGGGGAGCGCGGGGTCGGGGTCCGGGGCTGCGCCCGGAGGCAGGAGCGGGGCGGCGCCGGCGCCCCCGAGGAAGAGTGACTCCTTGCGGCGGGTGTGCGGGCTCTCGAGCAGCGCGCAGAAGCCGTAGGCGGTGCGCGCGCGCGGCAGGTGCGGCAGCGAGAGCGCGGCCTGCGAGCGCGGGTCCCAGTCGGTGTGTCCGACCCCGTCGTCGATTTCTGCCGCTTGGATCCAGGAAACCCGGAGCGCAGTCAGGGCGGTACCCGGCGCAAGTCGCGGGGGGATGCAGAACTCAGGGATGCGGTCCGGGGTGAGCACGTTTTCCCACGCGGCGGGCGTGAGGGCCCTGACTTGGTGGCCCCGGGTCCGAAGAATCCCGTTCCTGCCCTTCAGGAGGCGCTCGGGACCCAAGCGGAGCCTCTCCAGGCACCACATAAGGCGGTGAATGCCGGATGCAAGGACACTGCGGATGCTGGTCTGCCTGCGCTTCACAATGGTACACCAGTCGTCGCAGGGAGCTCTGCAAGGCGCAGCAATTCCCGTGTCTTTTCTCCTACTTTAGGGTTGCTTTCTTCTTCCTCCCCTGGGACAATGCCAGCTGCCCTTCTCGCTGCCAATGCGAGCTATATCTCAGTGACTGAAGAACAATCGTTCTTCTCTTGTCTCTAGCCAGTCCTGTACACTTCAGGGCTTGTTGATTTAATCTCGATCCTCCGCAGGCCTATGGCGGAGGTTCTCAAAATGTTGCCCTCTCACTTTGGTCGTGCCGTCCGCAGTGCCAAGAAGAGCTTTGCTTGTGCAATCGTTTCCTGAATCCTTGGATTATTGCACTCTAGTCCTTGACGAGAATTAGAATAATAACTATTATCCCCTCTAGGACTCACGGCTTGCTCCCAGGAGAGTTAAACAAGGTGGGTTCCTCCTCCCGTACCTGGGGTCCGGTGTCAGATGGGTGTCTGCACGGTTCTGCCTGAGGCACCCAGCCAGGGAGGCGCGTCGGCTCCACAAAGTTCAAAGCGCGCGCGGCCGGATTCAGCACCGCTGGTCAAGGACAGCCGGTCTGAGCCTTTATACTTGCAGCCCTGACCGCTGACCAATGCGCGGGCGCGAGAGGCGATGCTTGGTAACCTGATGCCAGGCCTTCCGCTCTGCTACGTGGCTACGTGGACTGCGCAAATTCAAAACATCCAGTTCCTTCTCTCCCTTACGTCTGGTGGGTCTGTTATTCTCAGAAACCCTAAACAAGTTTCTATTTTCTCACGTGCGAAAAAGGTTAAATCTCGACTATATCGAGAGTCATTGGGAGGATCGCCGCACGTATGAATGTGAATCCACGGAAGCACTCTACGCCCACCACTAAAAGAAGATGCAAGTCGTGTTTGTCTTATTTTTACCTTATACCGTCCCTGTCCCCCAAAAGCCAGCCTTCAAAGTTTCTTACCTGCTTTCTGATGTTCAGTCCTGATTTTAAATGTATTTTCTTTGTTGATTAGAATTCATTCGGTACCGGAACCTTATGGAGTGCTGAAAATATTCCATATCTTGATCTGGTTGCGGTTACAGAGGTGTTTCCATATGTTAAGAAATCAGTTAGTATACACTTAAAATTACGTGTAAGATTGTGTGTATCTCATATGGTAATTAAAAATCACAACCCATTTCTTAAGCCTTTGTGTGTTGATTTTTGATTGGGAATATATACTTCTGCATACAACTGCTGCTGGAACCATGCTTTGAAGGCACCCCTCCCCCCCAACCTCTGGTCTTTCTAGGCTGTATCCACCTGGGAGACCCTTTTTATTCCTCTTGAAAACTGACCTATGTTCATTCTGTAGAACTGCTTCCGGCTAGCTCAGCTTAAAAGAGGTCTGAGGCATTTTGTTCAGAATTTGGGTGTATGCTATTTCTGCTTAAAATCCTTCCTTGTAAGTTAATTGTTTCTCCAAATAATGTTTAGTAATTAAACAAAATAAGGTTCAGTGAATTAAATTCATCCAAAGGGTTTTAGGATGGGACATGTGCATTTTGTTTTCAGGGTATACATACACAGGCACTGTGCTCCATGATTTACACAATAGTCTCTAGAACTGTCATATAAACCTGCAAATTATGATTATTCCTAGTAACTTACCATGTTCGCAGTGATGGGAAATGGAGGTAATAATACACATTAGTGAGCATAAATGAGTTGCTTTGGGAATTAAATGAATCTAATAATGTAAAATATTTAGCATTGTGCCTGGAACATGGTAAGAGCTAGACACACAGAAGTTGCAATTATTATTAATGATAATAAAAATAGAAGAGACACTGTTGAGTGCTGTGGTTAAGAAAACTGGATCTGGGGGCGCCTGGGTGGCTCAGTGGGTTAAAAGCCTCTGCCTTCAGCTCATGAAGTCCTGGGATGGAGGGCTGCATCGGGCTCTCTGCTCAGCAGGGAGTCTGCTTCCTCCTCTCTCTCTGCCTGCCTCTCTGCCTACTTGTGATCTCTGTCTGTCAAATAGATAAATAAAATCTTAAAAAAAAAAAAAAACTGGGTCTGAAGTCGGATCTGGTTTTGATTGTAGAATGACTCCTTACTATTTGACATGAGCAAGTTACTAAACCTTTCCAAGCCACTGTATCAAATGTACAATAGTAGTTGGGACATTTAAGAGGTAATGAAATTAATGATGATACAAAAGAGACCCAGGAGAGCTCCCACATCCCTTCTGAGAATAACAGTATGTACCTATAAGGTTGTCATAAGTATATACTAAGATTATGCATTTGTTAAGAGTTGAGCATACAACCTAACATACAAAATGTCTGATATGATATTTGTTATTATAGAAGAGAACGAGTGCTCATTAGTTCATTTATTTATTCAAAGCAATGTTTATTGAATGCTTCCTGAGTTTTAGCCACCATCTTAGGCACGTGGATCCAGGCTATACAAGATCACATCAGCTATATACATCCATCAGAGGAGCAATGATGAGGATGAAATATTTGAATTCTGTCTAGCAGAGGCAGAAGCGAGAAGAAACTATTAAACAGGATTTATATATTTAGTCTTGGCAGGGAGGCAGGGTTGACAGGTCCCTGGGCTTGCTATGCCCTTGACTAGTTACTTCTTTGTCTTTATATCATCTCCATGCCTGGCTCAGATTCTTGGGGGGCAATGCTAAATCTATGGGAGAATGATTGCTGAATTATATATACACTTGAGAATGTGTTTTGTCTCACTTTTGTCAGGAGACAAGAAGCTGTTAGCTCTGCAAGTGAGAGCCCAGAGAGCCCTTGGTTAAAATGGGGAGGCTCACCATCTGAGAAGTTGTTAAGCAAAGCTATGCTGTGGTGGGAGAAAGGAAAAAAGCACCAGAGCATGAGAAATGATTTATGGGTGAAGAAATACAGACTTTGGAGTAAATCTCTACAAGGTTGAATCTGTTTATGCAAATTTTTAGCTATGGGACTGTGGGCAAGTTAGTTAACCTCTTTGAATCTAAGTTGTAAAATGAGAATAATAATATCTACCACACAAGACTGTTGTGTTAAAAATACATGAAATGTCTGGCACACAGTAAGTGCTAGTGAGCTTTTAGCTGTTATTATTATACAGGTTTGCTTAGTCAGGGATTAGCTGATTCACACATGAAGTCCTCTAAAAACATTTTTCTTTGAGGCAGATTTGCTTTGTTTTTATTAACAATGCACCTTCTTCAGTGACACTTTAGAAGCATTTCCTGTGTAAGGTTTCTTGAAAGCATCAGGCTTGTCTTTGAATGGCTGGTCCCCTGTGGCCCCATTAAGCCTTATGTTTTCCTTACCTTGGAAGCATGAGCCAAAGAGTACTTGGGAAGATGGTGTAACAGGATGCGGCCCTATGTCTGGAACACACAAATCTCCTCAGAGGAAGGCTGTGGCACTTCAGGGCTCACAGCTAGAACCGTGGGAACATTGTTCCAGTAACAGAGCTCTAAAATAATCTGGTGAAGTGAGGGTGATTAGATTACATACCATCCAGGCCTGAGGTGTTCTTGTAGTAGGAGGAAACTGAACAATATAGACTTAAAAAGATAATACATTGGAGGTCAGGTGTCACAGAAAGCAAGAAAAAGAGAGCTTACAACCAAATAAAAAAACACCGGTGCTCTGGCTTATCTGTCTTTCTCATTCAAGGAAGTAGAGTATGGAGCTATGGAAAAAACACAGACCAGGGAGTCAGGACATTGAATGTTAGCTCTGACAGTCACTAACTTGTTGTGGAACATTAGCAAGTCCCTTAATTCTCTTTCCTACTCCCTGTCTCCACCTGTCAAACAAGGGGGGTTGGATTAGCCAGATTTGTTTTCCTCTGGTTCTCAAATTCTGCAATCTACCCCAGTGCTTTCTGCCAGCTAATCTTCCTGCATTTTCTGACAGTCCATGGTGTTATGCTTGTTCTCTAGCTTTCTTCTCCATTTCCTTCTTTTTCCCCCAAAGGCCTTTTGCTTTCTCTCAACAAAAGGTAAGGAAATAGCACGTGGGTATGAGGTATTGCAAAGTTAGAAATTCTTACTTTTCAGTTTTTAAGCAAGAGTTGTTAATTTTTTATTTGCATGTGTGTGTGAGAGAGAGAGAGAGAGCACACATGGGTGAGTTGGTGGGAGGGACAGAAAGAGAGGGAGAGAGAGAAACTTAAGCAGACCCCTCCACAGTGCAGAGCCCAATATGGGGCTCAATCTCACGACCCTGAGATCATGACCTGAACTGAAATCAAGAGTTAGAAAGTAAAAAAAAATAAAATAAAATAAAAAAAATTTGAACACTTAACTGACTGAGCCACCCAGGCAACCCAAGAGTTGTTAATTTTTAATTGTAGTTTACTGCTCAGTCCCACATTGCAGTTGACTTTTGCAATTGCTTTTGTTGTCGCATTATTCTTAAGTCAGATTGAATGTAAGAACTGTAATTACTACAATGTTTACTTTCTTTAACCTCCATATCCAAACTCCTTTGGGTATAGTGCTATACATCAGAGTGTAATGATACTTCTTTACATTACTTTGTTTTAGATTAGGACTGTAAATATCTGATTTCTTCAAGAAGTATGTAGGATTTGGAGCATTGCTGTGTGTACCTTATCAAACTGTCAGAACATACTTAAAAAGTGAAATACTAAAATTTGCAAGCTTTTTCTACTATGTTGTAATAGCATTATTAATTCTGACAATAGGGGCACGTGGGTGGCTCAGTGGGTTAAGCAGGCTAAGCCTCTGCTTTTGGCTCAGGTCATGATCTCAGGTCTTGGGATTGAGCCCACATCGGGCTCTCTGCTCAGCAGGGAGCCTGCTTCACTCTCTTTCTCTGCCTACTTGTGATCTCTCTCTCTGTCAAATAAATAAATAAAATCTTTAAAAATAAATAAAAAAAATACTGACAATATTAAGTTGAAGTTTCTGCCTTGAGATTTTCTGTTCTTTGATTAACCTTCCAAAGTAAGATCTC